AGGTCCTGTTTGCCTGAATTTAGCAGGAAAAAAGACAATAGGAAACAGCTCCTTTGGCAGTAACCCAAGCCTCTCTTTTCAATCAGCATTGCTCTCAGAAAACTCTCACTCCCTCTTTTTCTTTCTGTGGAAATTCAGGATCATTCTACAAAGTATTTCATTGTTTTGTTTTGGGTTGGTTTTTGGTGTTTGTTTGGGTTTTTTTTTTGGGGGGGGGGGGCTACATATGTAACATTTCTGATGGCGTCATTTACACCATTTTGCTAAAATTATATACGCACCTTTGTGTTGACATCCACACAGGTTTTTTTTATTTGCCTGTCTCGTGGCTAGGGCTTGGAAGGTGATACTTATTTGACTGTGTCTTCTGTTTGCCCACAGTTATACTTCAAAACCATTTTCCCACTGTTTTCTGATAGTTTTCTCTGTAGCCATTAAGGAAAACAGGCAGGTAAAGTGTACTTTCCACTTCTTTGTAAAAGGTGGGTTTATGAACCAATCTATTGTTGTATTTTGAAATGTGCCATTATCAATTCCTTTGAACGTCTTTTTAAAGGACCTAAATGGCATTTAGTCATCCAAGAAGTTTTGCTTTCTCTTATCTCAGGGAGTGAAATTTAAAGAATGTCAGAAGTGTTGTTTAACAGACTAAACTAAGCCTTAAAGAGGGAATGTGCTCATTGCTGTGTTCTTAAAATCTAGGATGGACAAAACTGCATTTTGCTATACTGAGTATTTTAAGGCCTCTACTCCTTCTGGATTTTAGCTTTTCCAGGTTACTTTTGGGAAAGATCTTTACCTAATCCTGATTATGTGTAAAAACAATAATCAAAAGTGGTTATTTAATGCAAGGGCCAGATTGTATGGTCATTATCTTAGACTAGCAATGAAACCCCCGGAGAGTTACTTAATTTTGCAAATTATTACTCAATTAGAAAAGGAGTTTTGCTCTGAGCTTTTGAGGGGATGTTTGGTTTGTTCCCCTCACCAAAATCAAGAATAAGCATCATTATAATGTCTGGTTTCTTTCCATAGGTTTCAGCTAGATTTAGCAATTGCTTCAGAGTTCATCATTAATTATCCTATACTGTATCCTGCAACGATGTTTGTCCTAGGGTTGTTAGAACCCCCATAGTGTTGCTCTATTAAAACTGCAAAAGGAGACGTGAAGGGAAAGGGAGAATAATGTACACAGATGAGCGCAGTACAGAGCTCTGAAGTTCCAGTGTATTTTTAGTCAAAAGCAAATGTCTAATTCAAGAATTACGGAAGAAAAGCAGATCTGTAATTATGTTCATAATTAGAGAGGTCCTTTTTTGTTGCTTAATCTAAATAATGTAAAATATGTAGGTTTCTGAGCACCATAGAAAACATCAAAGCTGATAATGTAGGAGGTTATTGTGGTCCAGGGAAAGGAGAGGGGACCAGATTCTAAAATAGTGAAAATCAGCATAGCTCAGTTGGAACTCTTTATTTCTGTTGATGCACACTAGTTGAAAATTGGTTTATGACTTCAAGTTGCCTAGAAACAAAGCAAACCAAAGAACTGTTATGAAAGCATCCATCTAGGAAAACACTGGGGGAAGAAAAATACAGTGAAAACAGAACTCTTTCTAAATTAAATTTACTATTAAATTTAACAAAGTTTCCTAGTGGGGAGTTCCTGGAAAATGTAGACTGAAATGTGAAGCAAACTTTGATTGCTCTTTTAGCTGCCTTGATGGTTTTTTTTTTTTTTTTTTTTTTTTTTTTCATTACTTCTAAAGAAGCTTTCTAGAGAAAAATACCCATGCTTCCCTTAAGGAGCATTTGCTATGGTTGTTTCCAAAGGAACAGCTTAATAGTTTTGTAAATATCAAAGTTAATAGCCTCCTAAAAACAAGGAAAATTGCCTGTAGGTTATTTCTACTTATACAGACATAGTTATGCTCTGAACTGAAACTTTCTCTAAAGTTTTTCTCTAGGCCTGTTACCTATTACTGCATACTTTGCTGTTCCTACTTCCTTTAGCTGTTTTGAATCAACAGTGGGTAGAGCAATACTTAAATTAAATGTACTTGAGGGTAAAACATGATCTAACAAATTATAGAAAATAAACATTATTAAGCATAGCTTGTGACTATAAGAAGATCAGAAACAGTCTAATTTTTTTTTTTTTTTTTTTAAATGCAACAGCTATGCCACATCATCGTAAAGCCATAGTTATGTCTGGATTTGAAGAAAAGATAAAATCTTTCAAAGAGTGTCTTCCAGAAAGGAGTCAGAGAAAAAATTTTTTTTTCTTGTATTGTATTGCTATTTGGTATGCAGTAAGAGCTGCTTCTCCTTTATTTTTGCTGCCTTTTTTCACTTCAATTTTAATGATGTTAAGGCACCTAACAGTCTTAATAAGCAGCTTTTACTAAAGATACAAAATCATTATTTTCTGCATAAATTGGTAATGTGTATAAGCTTCATAACTGTCAGAGAAAACAAGAGCTCTTTCCTCCCCTTAGAGGTGCAGGGAAACCCAGCTGTTGGCAAATTAACTTACATTGTGCTTTACTCTTCTTCCATTTAGTATTTGTGTTGTGTTGGGGGGCCTTATTTTTATTAGCCAGCTCACAGCATTAGGCTTATGAAAGGATATGCAAAGTATGAAGAGAGTTGCTAGAAAATTGGGTCTTCCTTTTAGCATTTCATAGCAGGCTTTGAATCCTGGTGGACTTTCTGCTGCTAAAGCCTTAAATCAGACAAAATGCAGTAGAATTGTTTTTACTGAAGGCAGCCGGAGCCTGAAACAAGACTGAGCAGTGCTGGTTTATGGCATAGGAACAGTCTGGTGAAAGCTGCTGGGACTTTCCCTGTCACAATTGAGCTGGTTCTACCAAGGAGATGCAGGTGAAATGTGATTTAGTTTGGGATATCTGCATCCCCTTTTGGGGTGCCTATTAGATAGAAACTAAGGGGCCCTTACTCTACTCTTCATTACTGTTACTGTTTTGGGTAGTTTCATTTTATGTGTAGATGGCTATTCATCATGTTAGATATTTGTATTTCACATTCCTCAAGCCTCCTAAATTCTCTGTCAGTGAGGAAGAAGCATTCATAAAGTTGTTTATGCACTGGCAAGTTTTAGAAATTGGTTATCTGAAGTTTAACATAGGAGCTTTTATCAAGATCTTTATTTTTGAAAGGTAATTCTAGAAGTACATTTTTCTAGTAACACCCCTGCAAGACTGGTTCCCTCCAGAAAATGTATGCCTCCTTAGAAAAGGTGATGAGATGTAGTCTTGACTTAAGACCGAGCTCTTAGTTCCCTCAGCTGCTGTTTTTTGACAAATCCATCCCTGATGCTCCATTGCAGGGTGTAGCATACAAAAAGAAAAAACATTTTTTCTCTTTCAGACAACAAGTTATCCTCCTCCCCTTTTCCCTCCATTCAACTGCAGTTGAACAAAAACCATCATAGAAATTTAGAGGGGGAAATAAAATTCAACATTTATTTCTTCTAATCAGGAGGTACAGCATAAAAGAATACATAATCCCCAACAGTTTTCTCTTTAAAACGTATGTATCTTTTTTCCTCACTATGCTAGTCTGAAATAGTGAGGCAGTAACCAACCACACAGTTAGGCTGGCTCTGGTCTTCTACTCTGCTTGGTTGTCAGCATCAAAATTTCTATTACCTCTCTCTCGCTTAATTTTGGGGGTCCTTCTCTACTCTTATTCTCCTCCTTCCACTGGTAATTCTCCTCCTTGTGTCACTCTTCCCTTTTCTTGATCCTCCAACAGCTTTTCAGTTTGCTCCACATGGGCAGGACTGGACCTACTGTATATTTTGTTCTGTTTGATAGGGGAGGCTGAAACAGCATCCTGTGGATTTCTCTGGGTGTTGTGTAATTAAATTGTCTACAGTGTTAATCATCATTTGATTATTCTGACATCCTTGATGAGAAAAAATGTATATTAAAATAATAATATAATTACAGAATTTGCTTTTAGCATGAATATATTTCTTCTCGGTGACACTAAAATTATTATTACCCCCAATATTTATGTATTATTTTGACAGATATTGCAGTGGGCTATGCGCAATTTTAAGGTAGCACAGTCTACTCCATGCAGCTTAAAAGCAAGGATTTTTCCCCTCCGCTTTTGCCCCATCACATTTTATTATTAATGGACACATTTGAATTGTCAGCTTTCCCAAAGCCTTGGTGTACGGGCTGGAATGATCAGATTAATTTCGTTGCTTAACCATGTCGTTGATAACTAGGACTGAACACCCTCTTGTTCTTGCTTTATTTTTTCCCTAGCAGTTCTTCTGTTTGGGTTTGGTGGTTTGGGTTTTTTTTTATATATACATCCTGTTAGTTTAAACATAAGAATTCCAAGCTGAAATAGCCTGTAATGTGGAAATGTAGGCTTTCAGGAGCTGTGTGGGCTAGGACTTTGTCTGGAGGCAGGATGCTAAAATGGCTCAGCTGGCAGGTTAATGAAGATTGTCATGAATATTAAATGATAGAACCAAAACAAAACTCCCAGAGAGACACTTAGGCACAAATCTTACATAGCAGCACGACCAGCTCAGACAGCTGGCTCTCTGTAGACTTTCTTGAAATATAACAGTGCTGAGGCACATTAGGATGATTTTTATAAACCGGAAGGCTAATTTGTGATGCACTGTTTGAAAGTTAGAAGTCTTAATGATTTATAGCTTGAAGCAGAAATCTGTTTTCTGAAGTAGATAAATAACCGATAAATTATATCTGTGCTGTTCTCACTTGGATTTAAGTGTTTCAGAAAATTTTTCAGTTTTGTGCTTGCTAAAAATGTGTACAAGGGGTAAACCTTACTGTTAAAGTTCATACCAGCTCTCTGGTGTGCAGTTATAGTCCCACTTCTTCCTCTGATGTTCCTCTATCCCTTCTTTTTCCTGTCTAAAAAGACCACATTTCAGAGAAATGCAGTTTATTAAACTACATTTGGTTTTGTTTCTTTTTTGCAATTTGTCCCAGACAGGGTAAGAGCTTGCTATTCATAGAGTTCCCCCTTCAGATCCAGTGATGTAAAGCTAGCTCCTGCTATGTGGAAAAATTGCTCCAGCACATGCAAAAAATTAAAATTCAAGAAACTTGGATTTATTTGAAGTAACACCAACATAGAACTGGGATGATTCCATTAACAGCACTGCAGCCATGCTCTGTTTCTAAAAGGATATCTAAAGGTGAGACATTCTCTATGGCCTAGAGAGTAATCTTTGTTACACTTTGTAAGTTGAATTCAGGTTCTTGCACATAACTTCCTTGACTTTTATGGTTTTGTAAATTTATACCAAATTAATATGTGGTTTAGTGATTTTTCAGACACCAAAAGGAATAAGCTGAAATAACAGAGTAGGTTTTCTCAGATAAATGCATGTAGGCACGATCCATTTTGTGGTGTTATTCTGTGTATAAAAAGATAAAGTAAATCTAAACTATTTTTAGGTGCGATGAGTCGGTCTAAATGAGTTGATGGAAAAAGATATAAATGAAAGGACAGTCCAGTTAGAGGAAGTTATGGAGAGTAATGCTTTTATATAAACATTCTGCAGAATTCATTTAGCTTTCCAAACCCTGTCTGTAAATCAAGAAGTGCTTTCCAGTGGCTCTAGTCATATGGTGCTAGCCATCTTTGTTTTCAGTTCAATTGCATTAAGAACAGAATATATTTTTAAAAGTAGAATTTTAGAAGTATTTATGTAAATAATTGATGCGGTTATTCCAGTGATATTACATGGCTAGTAACAGTGTGCGCAAACAGAAGTGGCCAGCAGGTTCCCAACTGTGAAGAAAACACATTCAGTGAGACAATGGTTCAGTTAGTATCAGGACAACCCCTGATTTATTTCTGTTGTTGTTAAATCAAACAGCCTACTAGAATGGGAGTGATATTTTTTTTTTTAAGGGTAACATAAACCAGATGTATGTAAAACACTTAGAATAACTTATATTTGGGTTTTCACAGTATCATGAGGAATTTACACACATACTGACAGGGCTTGCAATAAGGTGAGCTACAGTATTGTGGAATAATAGTTTGTAACTATTTCCCTCTGTATTAAAAGTTCCCATAAACAGTCTATTACTCTGTGAAGCAGATACAGCTAACATAATTATTCAGATAAAATCTTGTTTAAGATTTTACTTTTTTTCAAGCTGAAAAGCTCCTTTAGGTACTTGGAGAAGTTCAGGTTAATGTATCTTAGTCTGCAAAGGCTACAAACAGTTGCTTTCAGATTAGAAGCTCATTTCTTACCTATTTGAAATATCTAGTCTATTTTAACATGTTAGTTAAACGTAGTAGATAAAAAGTTTACCTCTAGCTTCCAGCTGCACCTTCATTTTGCACATTTTGAATGTGTAATTGAAACTCTTGACAATGTTATGAATCACCTTTTATACAATGTCTTAAAGTGTCTGAGACTAAAGTGTACTGTTGGGATTATCATGGCTTCTACCAGTATTTCAACAAACAAGTGACCAATGGACATACAGGCAAATTCTAAGTGATGACAGACATGGATGAACATTGGTAAAATACACTCAATTCAGCTGAAAGATGAAGCACCACAAAGTGACACCTCTTTGGAATGAGGAAATTAAAGCTAGAGCTTTGGAAAGCTAAAGCATTCTTGATATTACAGCCATTTTGGGCTCCCACCAGCCCCTGCATCCAACCAACATTACCTTCTCCAGATGGATGAAAGGAAATTCAAAGGAAACATCAGCTCATTGAACGGCCAGGAAACCTAGCATTAAAGATTGCAAAGTTGTAGTGAAGCTGAGAATTGCACCTTCATCTCTGTGTCCCTGGTCACCTCTTTAGAGCAAAACTCCAGCCTTCTTTCTTAAACTAGAATGAACATCGTTTAAAGACAAAACGAGAAAAATCGATGTTATGGACTGAATAGCAGCAGAATGATTTTCTATGAACCCAGGCTCCTGCAAAGTATCAAAGCCAAAGGCATCAGTATTTTTGGAAAATGAACTGAGGATGTCAAGCAAGGAGCCAGCAGTCACGAACTGTATAATTCATGCTGATTTTCCCAGAACTGTATCCAAGGAGGATGTCACACTTTTCCGTTCTCAAGTTCAACCTTATCTCTGAGTGCATCAGCAAGTTTCACCTTTTCTGAAACTGTACTCTCCCGTGAGTTATTTATAATCTCCCGCTGCTTCTTATAAGTAGCATTTAACTCACTTTCCTTCTTTCTGCCTCGGATTGTTATAGTCCACTGATATGTTGCTGCTTTGCATAGAAACCTTTCAGCAGCCTGTTTTCTTCCATCTCCAAGACATGCTAAACTTGAAGGAGACCATTCAGAGAAATGTCAAGGACACATTTACCCATGGCAGCAGTAATTTAGGGACATATGTAATATTTAATGTGTAGAATCATAGAGGACACATACACGAACATCCCTACTAAGCATTGGTTCTTAACATTCTCTCAAGTTCACTAAGATCGACGGGTTAGTCTTTTGCACGCTGAGAGCTTTTCAGATATTCCTACAAGCTGCCATCATAATTTCATTTCTAACATTTTTGTTGTGTCAGAGATCGAAAAGGCAGGGTGTTATTTCTGACCTGTTCAGTTTAAGAAATACATGGAATACAGCATGGTTTAGAAAGACTGTAAGACTGTTGGCTTTGTCTAAATTGCTAGGTCTGTCTGTTGTGTACAGACATACTTGTATACATGTAACACAAAATACATTGCAAATGCCTTGAAAATCCTACTGTCCTATTCTTTAAAAGTATTGCACAACTGTTTTAAAGTACAGAGCACGGTTAAACAATAAGGAAAAATCAGTGATATTCTTGAGACACTTCCAAACATAATGTAGGTCACAGACATGTGACCTAAGAATATAATCTCAGTTTAAACATGTAATCCCTTCAATTACCACTTTTGCCATTAGTATACTTAGGACTGATGCACAGCTGCACAGTTCTGCAGTTCAGAATGAACACTTTGCTTTTAGTATTCTTTTTAATGAGACAATGTTTTTAGGACCTTTGCTCAAACATAAAAATTAATAAAGTGTTACACGTAATGCATAAATTTGAGTTACCTGGACGTTATCTGTGATCACTACCAAAGCAGCACTGCAGCGTAAAAGAAAGCTGCAGCCTCCAACGAGAAGAGCGGCCTCCTAGGATACTCTTGATTTGCCACAGCTATCAGTTTAATCTACAGTTACCCTCCAGGCAGTTAATTGCTTGGTAACTAAACTCTGCATCTCCAACACAACTGGTTTTAGTATCTCTGCAAAGGAGCACAGAAGTAGGCCCAGGGAAGTTTTCACTTCAGTCATCATCTAATTCTGTCTGCTCAAACTGGCTGAAACAAATGCTACCTCTAAGGGTTTTTTCATTCAAAGATTGTTGTCCGCAAAAGAAAGGTGCAAGGCTTTAAGTGCAGGTCTACATTCAAACATTCCTACAAGTTTAGGCCTGCTTGGATTTAGTTCATGTGACTGACTCTTTGTAATCAGTCTATCTGTGTTGTTGTAATCTCTAAAGCACAAGTAGGTATGCCAAGAAGTAGACTCCAGTTTTCACGATGCAAAGATTAGATCCAAATCCCTGCTTTATCTGCTGCATTTGCACAATATGAGAAAACTTTCAGCAAAATCTGGAAGGTAAAGTATGGACATTTGGACATCAATTTCTCTTCCCTTTTCAGAGATGTTTCTTTAAGTTAAGGGAAAATGATGCTGTATTTTCTTGGGTGGCTTATCTCCAAGATGGCTTGCACCCAGATTCTTTTAAACTTTTCACTTCTCAGTAGGATAACAGCTCATGTCAAGAAGTACTCCAGAACATGGTAATCTGAACATTCATTAACAGTGCAGAATTTCTGATGGCAACAACTACAAATAACCTATGGGAAACAGTAACAAGAATTGTTTATTCAAGAATACTTCCTGTGGCTCTGCAGTTCATCCAGGCACACAAGCTCTGTTTTTCACAGAACATTAATCTCAGTTTCTGTTCTTTTGGATTTCTTGTCAACAGATGACCCAAGCCAAGAAGATCTAAGTGTAAGTAAACAAGTAAATTAGGACTCACACCTTGTACTGAACAGGGAGAAAAAAGGCAAAGGAGAAGGTATAATGTAAAGACCAACATATGGGTAAGGGTACAAGTTCACATTGTTATCATTGACCATATTTGACAGAAGAGAAAATAGGAAGCACTGTCTGTTATCAGACCTGCATGTACTCTGCCAAATCTACCTTACCAGTATAAATTGTCCCAATAGCACAGTAAAACATTCTCATTTCCCACCTCTTCTGTTTTCTGGATTAGGGTTTTTTTGGTCATGCCAAGATCAAAATCATGCCTGTGCTATTCAAGTACTTCTAGGAGTGATGCTCACCTCTCATACACTTAGTTCTTTAAGACTGATTGAGTAGAGTGGAAAAAAAAATCACCTTTTGATATAGCACTGTTTTTTCTGTCAAAGCACTCGATAGAGTCTGTATTATAACTATCTGACAGTATTCACAGATAGAGCTCTGGGTGAAGTAATTATTACAAATCTAAACATTAGGGGGGTTTTTTAGTTTGTTTTAATCAAAGCATTCACAGAAAAGGACTGATTTTCTCTGAAAACAGCCATCCTGTATATCATGTAAGTAGCTTTCAGGTTATAGGTTCACGTGTGTTTTACTTTAGCTGAATATTACTCATGGTGCAGGGATTTGTCATAAGTTGCATGGCTTGTATATTGTTTCCTGTGTGGACAGAAAAACATTAAGCAAAAGCATAAATGGATGATGCATAACAAAGTGTATAATTGTCATCACGTCAATTCCGGGGATTTCAAGATATCCCTCGGACTATCCAGTGTTCATCTGAAAATATGCAAGTACTAATCAATCAGAACTACTTAACACATCTTACTGAATCCTTGACTGGCAGCTTTTTCACTCACAGAAGTAGTCAGAAGGGTTTTTTGACTTTTTTTCCTCTCAGTTTAACCAGATCAGCTTAAAAATTAGTGTTGGACTTCCTGTATGAAACTTTTCACATCTCTTCCATTTTCTCTTAAGCAGATGCAAATTACATTGAACACATTTCAGGTAAGTATATTTATCTATAAAAGAGACAGAATCCATTTGTAAAGTCAGCTAAACCACATTTTTTTCTTGTTTTCTCTCCTGTATCATCGAGTTCTACATGTTCTTGGGAGGCTTGCAAGGGAAGAACTGCAGCAGTTAAATGCTTTTCCAAACTATAATATCATTTGCTGAATATGTAGCCCAATGGTGGCTTTGAAACAAAAGTTAAAGGAGGTGATCTACAAACGGTGTTGAGGCTTCTCCCATTCCAAAGCACTGTACTTAAATTGATAAACATCCTCTTTTAATTTTAACTGAAATGTGAAAGTTTGGCAGGTCTGACAAGTGCAGTCTGAAAGGTGATCCTACACTGATTCCTATGTTGTTATGAATTCACAGCCAATATCATCAGACCACAAAGAGTATTAGCCTAGGCTGCAGTTTTCAAAGAAACACAAGGCCTTTTCTGTGTAAGAAAACTAATACAGAAACTGATTCACTTAAATCAATGAAATGCTCCTATTTTGGAAAAGGGTCACATTACAGGTAGGAAAGAAGTAACTTCAATTTATGTCTAAACCCAAATTCTTGGAAAAATCTGAGCTGCTCAGTCTGCAGGATTCAGAGTACCTGCATTCTGGCAGGTGATCTTGTTTAGATTAGGATGCAAATAACCAGTAACTAACAGCTGCTAACACACCTTACACGTTCTTACAATTTTACCTAACTGCAGTCTCTGCAACTGCAAAAATAAACACAATACTTTCATCTGCATTTCATAACCCCTTTATTGAATTTTGGTTGCTCATATTATTAGTCTTGTTGCTTCAGTAGTTAATCAGAAAAGTCCTCCTTAAAGTAAAGATGATAGAATCTACTCTGTCACAAGTTAGTCAAATGTATTAGGAGCAAAGTGAAGGATTACTGAAAAGAGTGCCATGTGGGAAACAGGAACTCAGGTTATGCATCCTCTGACCAATGAACCTATCTGATAATTCTTAACATTCTGAAGATTAAACTATTATTAAATACTAAAGTAAGGTAATTCTTGGCACAGCAATTCATTAAGACCTCAGACCATTCAAACACCCGTGTTAAATTAGCAAGATGCAGATTAGAAGCAGTACAGCAAAAATATTGACATCTGCAGTGTTATCTGGAAGCAGCAAGTAAACTGAAAATAAAGACTTCATTCTCCAAAGGAGGTCTGGAGTAGTAGGAGGGCTACAATAAGGCTTTACACAGCTTGCTTGTTCTGGGTGCCATTTATAGATAGTGAGGGCACCTGTTTTACCAGAATAATACAGAGGTCAGGGAAATGCAGCTGACTGAGAAAACAAGGATAGCATACAATTTGCTTGTTTTGAGTGCAATGTATAGATAGCAAGGACACCTGTCTTACTGGAATAATACAGAGGTCAGAGAAATGCAACTTGCTGAACAAAACAACCATAGCAGACAGTTTGCTTTTAAGCAAAATAAATTTCAGGCTGTTGGCAAGTAACAACCTTAGACATAAAATAATGTCATTGAATTAACACTGAAAGAAATACTGTGGTACTCTGAATGCGTTTTTAAGAAGTGGTCAGTGAAAACATTGTTAAGGATTTATGCCCACTTAAAGCCTTATTATCATAACACAGTCCTGGTGAGTGGGAACCTCAAGTGAAATAGCCTAGGAAATGATTAAATGTGAGTCCTTCAGTTCCCTGAAGGAAAACTGAAGAACTGAAATAGAAACAAAAAGGAAACGTTTTGCATTCTAAAATGCACTCAGTTGTGGTAATCTTGTCTTTAATAACAGAAAGGAAGGACTAGAGCATCTCCCTCTGGTCACAGGCATGAGTGAGGGCAGGTTGGACTCACAAGGATCTCACACCGTAAGACTGGGGTTTAAATCACCATTTCCAGTTGCAACAGGAAATGAAATGAACCTGAAATTTAGTACAAATAGAAGCTGAGTTACCTGCTTCGAGATCAGCAAAGGCGACCCCCATAGCAGGAATAGGAAAAGCAGGGGGAGAATAGTAACACTAAGCCATGCAGTGGTGGTGAGCTACAACATTTTTGAAATGCAGCCGGATATGCTGATGCTTGGTGAAGCCAAAACTATTACAGCAATCACAGTAGCCTGGCTACTGAATCTGCCCCATAAGGAAGCATCCAAGGAAGGGAAGAGAAGAGGGAAAAACCAACAGGCATTGGAAAATTATTCATGAAATGCTCGCAAAAGGGCAACCACCCACCATTACAACCAAAGCCACATGCATTCCCATAAAGGTGGCAGGCATACCTGCGGGCAGGCATCATCAAGGGGCCAACTCCCAGCTGCTCCTGGTATCTAACCAAAATGTCAGCAGTAATAATAAAACAAAACCAATTCTCTGAAGCAATACTATTTTCTTTGATGCTAAAGTATTTATTCCACCCCACAGCACAATCCAACAGTGGGGGTGGGGGGGAGGCATGGAATCCCTCCTGCAAATTAAGTGGTCTAATGGTAAGATGCAAAACAAGTTTAGAGTAAAATCTGTAACACTGAAAGAAAGGACAAATTAATAGAAACAGCTTTTTCAGTTGTTCAGCTGACAGGCAGCTGACCCCGGCAAACCATGAAGTGGAGAATCATCTAATCTTTCCTTCAAAGAAAATGGCCATAATGACAAAGAAACAGCACAAAATATGAAACGGAATTTTTATTATATCTATATTATTAATACAGAATTGGGAGCAGCTACTCAATTTATCCATGTCAATTCAACCTGTCACAGTAGCAGATAAATCCATATACATGACAGTTTACATTCAGCTTAAGTTAGTGAAAGTCAGTGGTTAGCAGCAATTTATCTAGCACATACTTTTACAGTCCTCTTGTTGCTGAAGACTGCCAGAGAAACCCAGTAAAGGGGGTCTGCTTTCACCCTACAGGAACTGCAGGTTCCTATTAGGTTAAAAGGAAAAGGAACATATAAATGCACACTTCATTGCAGCAGCAGTGATGAAGCCAGAGTAAGAACAAAGAAAAACTATCAGAAATTTAAAATGACAGCTGAAATTGTCAATATAAAGATGCTAACTATCCACAGGATACTAAACTACAATAATAAACTTGTACTGGAAGAGTATGTGGTAAACAGTGGGCTATCATTTCCTTTTTTTGTCAGAGTGGAGGAAGCTAGAAGGAAATCATAATCTAATATAGATAACATCTTTGATAATTACATAAAAAAGTGAAGTGTCATTTATTTGAAACTAACATAATCTTAAAATGTCATAGTGGTTCTCACGGGGAAAGATTATTTTTTTATCTTGGTTTACAGCTGTAAGCTTTGCATAAATACTCCACAGTAACTATATTTTAAGAGACTGAGTGTTTTATATCCAGTATTCTCAAATGTATCAAACATTAAATCCTACAATGCTTTTTAAAACATAAGCCTCTATTACACCTGTTTGTACTGTGATACCTACACTCAGTTGAAGCACAGAGGACTGATGTCAGCTTGTCCAGATGATGCATTCATGCTTTTTCAGGGAGTGGGAAACAACTTGTGATTTACAAAGAAGACCAGTCATGTTTCAACTGTTAAAAACTTCCTTATCTCTTCTGAGGAATAATTTTATATTACACACTTGTAAACAGAGAAATCCAGGCAGAAAGAACTTTCACATGAAATAATGCTCATAATTCAGAGCAAACTCCCCAAGTGTTTTACACTAACATAGATCTGTTCGTTTCCTCTAAGCTTGGTGTGTACACACATATGTATTTTCTAAACAGAAAACCAACTCTGACAGCTAATTGTTGTAATGAACTCCAGAAAACAGGGAAACAATCTAACAGTCTATTGTGCCTCTCCCCGGGCATTCTCTAGGTACAAAAATGTTCCTCAAAACTCATCTTTAATGTTGAAATGGGGCTGATCTTCAGGTTTAAAGTCTAGATTGGGGCTTCCATCCTCATTCAGAATTCTTCGAGAAGTATAGCCAACAATTGGGTATTTGGCCTTATAAACATTATTGAAGATATCATCCAAGGACTTCAGTTCCTCTTCTGTGAGTCCTGTCTAAATGAAATATGGAAATGAAAGTTCTATCTCAAAGAAATAAAAATACAGATATTTAGATACATTTGGGGGTTTTACTGATTACTATAAACCTTAGAGTCAGCCTTGAGGTTTGCTTTGCAGAATATGATTAACAAAATTGAGAGTTAAACCTGTAATTTTATTTTTTTCATTCAAATTCAACTTTGACAAAACTTTAATATATTCAGGTCAAACAAACCATTAATCTCCCTTCATAAGTAAATCACACCTCAAACAAGCAACTACCCACTGCCAGAGTTAGCATCCACTGCCATGTCCGTGACACGGGATACACTAAATCAGTTGACAAAGGAAGTGATTTACTCTCTTTGGAAGCATGTTTTTAAACAGTAGGTAATTGCTTCTTTATGTGCTAACATACATTTTATTGATTCCACAGATTAACAACTTTCCTCTTTAAGGCTGTTAGCACTGCACCTTTCAAGAGCAGCAAATATATGTCCATTTTATGTATTTAAAGAATATTAATGCATTTTGCTTTTAAAGATGTGAATCAAATAAATTAACACAAATAATATGATCCCGCAAAAGAATAAATCTTTGCAAACCAGCATTAAACTAACAGTCCGTTTACTTACTATGTCATGTGTAAGATCTGCTGGATCCAGAGACATCTTTGCAACACCTCTTGTTGAGTCTTTTCCAACCAAAGCATTGTATGGGGCTCCTTTTCCATAAAATTCTGTCAGATTACGAAAAAAAAAAATCCAGTGATGATGTGATGATCTGCCAATGTACAGGGTATGTTCAGCCTCTGCTTTTCAGCAGCCTGTTACACTTGTCAGTGAAGTGAAAGCAACAACTCAAGTCCAAGACTCTTCCTTCCAAAACTGACTTCTGATTTGCTACTTTCTGATAATATATCCCAGTCTTTAAAAAAAAAAACAACAAAAAACAACACCAAACCAACAA